GCTAACCAAAGGTAGATGGGGATAAACGTGGTAGAACATTGGTTACCCAGGGTACATGAGGGTAAACGTAGTAGAACATGGGTTACCTAGGGTAGATGGGAGTAAACGTGGGAGAACATGGGTTACCTAGGGTAGTTGAGGATGAACGTGGTAGAACATGGGTTATCTAGGGTAGATTAGTGTAAACGTGGTAGAACATGGGTAAGCTAGGGTAGATGGGGGTAAACGGGGTGGAACATGGGTTACCTAGGGTAGATGGGAGTAAACCTGGTAGAACATGGGTTACCTAGGGTAGATGGGAGTAAACGTGGTAGAATATGGGTTACCTAGGGTAGATGAGGGTGAACGTGGTAGAACATGGCTAACCAAGGGTAGATGGGGGTAAACGTGGTAGAACATGGCTAACCTGAGGTCGATGTGAGTAAACGTTGTAGAACATGGGTTATCTAGGGTAGATGAGGGTGAAAGTGGCAGAACATGGCTAAGAAAGTGTAGATGGGGGTAGACGGGGTAGAACAGGGGTTACCTACGGTAGAATAGGGTGAACGTGATAGAACATGGATAACCAAGGGTAGGTGGGGGTAAATGTGGTAGAACATGGTAGAATATGGCTAACCTGGGGCCAGGTGATCTGTGACGTCATTGCGGGGGCCTGGGGAAAGAAATTATATTGCCGTATCCCATTAACCAACGCGCGCACCAATTCAACCTGTTTGTGTTGATTTTATTTTTTATGTGCTGATTTTAAAGAAGTTTTGATCGAGCCTTCGTTCCTCTCTCGAAGTCAGTTTGCTTCACGCCGAGTCAGTAATTCGACTTCATTGCCCATTTCAAAACTGTGGTAAATTTTAGAAAGACAAAAAGAATTTAAACGAACATCTTCGTCTTTATCCGGAGCACAAACTGGATGGCTTGTCAACTTCTCGGAAACGGGTTTCACTAAGACAATGTGCAGAAAAATTTCTAGACGACGAGAGTAATCCTTATTCCAGGAAGCAAAGCGTCAGTGAACTGCTGAACTGTCTGAACGATGAAGAACTTGTGGATTTAGTTTTACCAAAGATTGCAAAAATTGTGTCACCTGTGGACTTTTTACTGCAAGGAACTGATGGAAATCATGATTTTCACAGCAAATTATGCAAGTTCAGAGATGAACTTTTCCTGCGCTACCCAGAACTTTAGGCACTGTTTTCTCCAGAGTCCTCAACAAGCACTGGTTTCTATAACCAGAGGCAAGTGTTGACTGAAATAGTTCATAAATTGGGTAGAGTATATAACCCAACTGATACTGTATACCACAATAATATCTAGAATTTTTACAGTTTAAAAAAGTAGTTGTGTGCTACACAACTCTGTTCATTTCATTTCTGTTCATCTTCATGACTGAAGATTCCTTGAGTCTAGATGTCATGTCATTACCACAGTTGGAGAGGAAGGTTCGAAGGCAGAGTTGTATCATTGAAGCAGAAGTCAACCAGAAATCGAGTGGCAAATGGACGGAGGAATGTATCCTGGCAAGTGAAAAACCACCATACCGGATTACAGTGGGACCTGATACGTCAAAATGAGCCTAAATCGAGCCAGTTGAAAGAGCTGCCACAAAAAATTCCATCCTTGAAGCGAGCAGCCGATGGAGGCCTTCAGGCAACTTACCAACCAAGCTCGAACGTCCATGGAAATCCCGAGGAAAGGTATCCGGTCTTGAAAGATCCGACTCTCTCAGAGCCGGGTAGTTCGTTTGTGTACGTCTCTTAAGCACATTACCATCGCACAAGCTCGATTCTTTCCCGCAGAAGACTGTTTTAAAATTCATTTCCATCAGGGAGTACATTTTGACGACGTACTCAGTTTTATTATAAAACTGAGTACGTCGTCAAAATGTACTCCCTGATGGAAATGAATTTTAAAACAGTCTCCTGCGGGAAAGAATCGAGCGCTGAGTCGAGAATACTATCCCAGCATTGGACTCACAAAAGCCATCCAAGTGAGTAAAATTTTCACCTTTCAGAACAATAGCTGTCTTTCAGAACATTTCTTTGTCGCAAACTTTCCCGCATGGCGTCCGACCGACCGCCATTGCCTAATTTCATACCGTGAGGTACTGGGTCGAGTGCGGACTTTCGCGGACAGATTCAAAAAACAGACATGGCGTACGCCGCTACTAAGGAAGAGGCGTCCTCATCAGAAGTTTACAGTTTTGGCCTTATAAAAGAACAGATAAAAGAGGAAAATATCAAGTCCCTGGATTGCGAGGTCTTTCCAAATTTTGTGCCAAGCTACAGCTTAAAACATCGGGCACAAAGGAAGCCCTCATTGAACGTTTGTCCCCACTACAGGACGATGCCCTGATTGAAAAAAGGATAACTTTGATCGATAAGAAGTTCAAGTTTCCGACGTCACTACCGAGAGAAAGCGTTCCTCAAGCTACAGCAAGATGGAAATTTAACGTTTCACTCTTTCCCAAGATCGGACAAAGTGAAATAGATGCACATCAATCTCATAAGCGCCAGGGGAGAAAAGGGCCGAGTATAGAAAGGCTTACAGAATGTTCCAGTCTCGAAGAGTGAAGCATATTAAAGCTATACAAGGGGAAGGATTGTCAATATACGTAAAAGCCAGCGTTTTGAAGAGTTTTTCTTCAGACGTAACTCGCACAGTTACAGTGCTTTTTGAGGGAAATAAACCGAAAAGGTCATTCTGCGAATGTCCTGAGGGTGCCTGTGGTCTCTGCTGCCACGCAGTTCTTGTTCTTCTTCAGCTTAAATACTTTACCGAACACAACAACTTTCTTTTGGCTTTGACTTGCACCCAGAAACTCCAAAAGTGGCACTGCCCCAGTACCTCTGACGAGGCAAAAGCCAAGACAAAAGCAGCATCTCACATTCGGTTGAAGTACTTTCGAAATGTTCGATCAGCAAGGAAAGCCATTTACCACAAGAGATCAACCAAAAAAGTTGAAACACATTCTTCCGAGTCTGTGACTGACATTGACAGGAGTGATTGGTTTACAAGAGATGTAGGTGAAATCAGTCACAAGGTACAAGATAAACTTGAACGTACTAACATTGATATCTCAAATCATTTTTTCAAGTGCTTGACAAAGTACAAAATAGAATCTGGCTTTAAAAAACATCTTGAATACAGAAATGCTTATCACTGTAAAATCATGCAGGAGCATGATTATGCCAAGCACTCAGTGTATTATGACGAGACATTACTCATGCCTAGATACAATAAAATCTAAAAACGTTAACTAGTTAAAGTTCGTTAAAATATAAAAGCTTAGTTTTAAGCAAACGATTAATCCAGAGTTAATACAATCAATATAACTTAAGATCAGCTATTTTTATGATTACCTTCTTGTTTTTAAGAATTTTGTCGTAAGTATTTTTGAGGGTTTTGTCCTTTTCCACATCAGATAAGTTGTAATACTCCAGCGTGCTAGCAACATTTTGCTTTGTTCTCCATGAGTTTTTGCACAACGTAGCAGCACAATTCCAGTGCCATTTCGTTTCACTTTGGCGAGCTTGTGTAGTGAACTTTATACCTGGAAAATCTACTTCAACCCTTGCAGGTTGTTTGCTCCAGTGAGCCGAGCAAAGCACAACGCGTGTCCACTTCACTTCCTCTTTCTTTTTACAGCCAATAACATCAATATATCGATCAATTACTTCCTTTGAAGCCCGTTGCACTTTCGTCATGCGGTGATACGATATCTCTGGAGTTCTCCAATTGCTTTTACAATACTTTGAGGCACAACTCCAGTGTCACTTCGTGGCGGACGCCATGTTTTTTTTAATTTTTCCGCCAAAGTTCGCACTCGACCCAGTACCTCACGATATGAAATTAG